CCCCCCCCATATAGCGTGGTACTAGGAAGCGGCACATTGAAAATTCTTGAGTGCCTAGGATTGTGTGTATTTTGTGTTTTTGTTGTTTGTTTATACATTTTGTTTTTGTTTTTTCTTGTTTTATTCCCCCCATGTTCATAGCATGCAAATGGATTCCAATTTTCTACATGCATTAAACGGGCAATTCTGCCATGTTGTCTGTTGTACATCGACAGTGCTAACACAACTCAAAATCAAAATATCTTTGGCCATAAAGCTGTTTATTTAAGAATAGATCTTTGGAAAGGGATATAAAATCAATCCTGTCGAACATTTATATCTAAAAACATTATTTTGCCAAAAAGGAAAGCATTAGCGTCAGGAGATCGCCTATGGGAAGTTGAAATATGTCTGTCAGATATTTTTTTTCCATGTTGAACCTCTATTAATTATTGCTAGTGTACCCAAGACTCTAACGAACACAGGTAATCTTGGTTAGTCTAATGGGTGGAATCTGTTAGGGTGTTGACCTCTTTCGTTCTGGGAACGTCATAGGCTCCGACCATATCGACATTGAGCTGTTTTTACAAATCAAATTTAGTAAATTCAAACCTCCTCGAGTGACTACTTCTATTAAGAGACTACCTGTATTAAGGTTCCTGCTTTAAAATTAGTTTTTATAGTTATTTTTATTTCAGTTTAAACTGTATAAAAAGATCACCTGTACTATGTGACCACTTTATTGACATCCCAAATGGGATCACTGAATAGAGGTTTAACTTGAATACCAAAGTTATCCACTGAACAAAAAGTATTACAAAATAGCGTGCAGTGTTGAAACCTTGTGCTTGCAACAATCCTTTGTTTTCAGATCGGCATGCAGTCTTCAGGTTTTGCCAATAAAAGCAGGCAACTTATCGTCATCAATGTCATTCCCTTCGGCACTAAACTAGCACGTGGAGATATAAAATGTGGTTAACGTTATATAAAATGTCGCTGAACTCAAACAGATAGAGCCTGCTAATTTTGCTTGCATGCCGAATGCTGCATACCGTACACTAACAGCGTAGTGATAGTTTCGAAAGTATACCATCCCACAAGTCTTCACATTGTATTCTTTATTGTATGCATAATACATAGTCGTTCTGTGGTTAAATGAATAAAACCAGTTCCAATATATGACCAACGTTATGTTTGTTTTTTTGACGATACTAACCAATCACACTCCCGAGTGTCCGATCTTTATGCAGGTGGCCAATTTCTACAAAATCCAAGATGTTGTCCAAAAGAGGCAAGGATACTAAGTATTGGTCCATATATAGTTTTATGATAAGAAACCCCATACAAAATAATTATGGTACGTTTGATTGGTCACGCTATTTCCTGTGCACCTTTTTAGATACATTGTAAGTTATCCCGTAGTTTTCCGCTTATTTAAACAGATTTCTTGTGCCAGTTGCCTAGAGAGTAAATCAACCATGATAGGTCATTGTTTACAATTAATAATTAAGTATAAGTACGACATTATTTCCTCTTTTTATCAATAAAACAAACCTCAAAAAACAGAAACAAAAAACCAAGTTATTTGCCATTAAAATGTTTTTTAATCGATTGTACATCAGCTCTGAGTGCAAACAAGTCGAGTTTGAACCAATGCAGGTGTCGTCAATATTTCATTCCTTAGACTGCGAAACATTTAAATGCAGAATTCAATTACTTACAAGTTTAAAAAAACTAAAACTGTTAACAGTCCATGTTTATGACCCGTTTTAAAGGTACAACACGTTGCGAGTGTAAAGTTGGCACTTGAAACACAGAACATAATGGCTTGTCTACTAGGCATGTTTCTCTGACAATGTAACGCTTTGCGGGGGCTAGATCAATACACTATGTACATTCGTGCACGACTAGTTCAGATGGCTCAACCTGCGTCATTAGAAAAAGTGCACAGTTGCACGCGAGAACCTGTTATGTATTAGTAGTCAACGTTTATCGTCCGGGGCTTCCGATAAGGGAGCTCACAAACTGTGTAAAGACTGGTCGATTTAATATGTGATAAAGCGGTTCTCTGCATTAGCGTTTAGTTGCAGTAAGTATGTAGAATACGATTTCAACGTTTACGGAACCGTAATACTGCGAAATACTGCTGAGTTCTAAAAGATCTGTATCCGCTATTTTCAATCTATTTAAAGGCATTTATTATAATGTTTTATTCTTCTATGAAAACTGAAATGAAATGAATTAGCAACGCTAGGCCTAGATAAATTTGATTTTAAGACGTTGGTTAATTTGTGATTATATCGATATTACACTTGTTCAAAATTATAAATCATTATTGTGATAAACAGAATCGATGTAGTGATAAACAACGGTCTATATAGTGCTAATAATCAGTAAAGTTACACTACACACCGCGTGGAGACATACGATCCTCACGTTTCGCGGTGGCGTTCTATAGCGTGGAGGGGTGGTATAAAATATGTCAACTCCACTCTCCACCGTGGAGAATATCCCGTCCATTCTCCACCGGCTATACACATTTGCTGCGAAAATGGAGTGGGCGTTGAGCGGTAGGCCAGCGTAATACACTATGTGATCTCCACGTATAACAATGATCAGAATAGACACAGCAACAATCAGAATGGTGATCACGCCACTCAATTTAGACATAAGAACAGTCCGAATATTGATAATAACAACCAGAATAGTGATTAAAAATAGCACGGAGAAAAATTGCATCATTATAATGAAAAATACCATCATTATATGTATGCCGGGGAATGGGAAAATCCGTTTTCAAGTTCTTCTCAAATCGTTCTCAACTTCTCATACTGACAACCCATGATAATGATTTTATCATGCTACCGGTAGGTGGTATAAAGCAGTATATAGATGATGATGAAAGATACCACCTTTATAATGAGAAAAATACCACCATTATAACGAAAAATGCCACCGTTATAATAACAAATATTATCATTATAATGAAAAATGCCATCATTATAATGAACATATCACAATTATATTAACAAATGCCATCATCAAAATGAAAAACATAACCAGTATAATGTAAACAATTAGCCGTATAGTGATAACAACAAGCTGCATAGTGATGACAACAAGCTGCATAGTGATGACAACAAGCTGCATAGTGATGACTGCAATCAATATATACCTACCTCCTATTCTTTGATCGAAGAATAACGATCTTTTCAAGAGGAGTGTGTGTGTGTTTGTGTGCTAAGAATACAAAAATTAATTTCGTTCCTGACTTGTCTTACACACGTACTTGTTTAGGCGCTGGCTGACGTCTTGAATCGCTTAACTCAAGCTGAATGTATTGCAATTGTCTTTAAAGCATGACTGGAATCGAGAACTGTTCATTAAGGAAACGCAACCAAAACGAATGTATGAACAGGATCACTAGGAAACAAAATTTAGTTCCGGGATGAAAATGGATCAATATCATTTAATATCACTTCCTCTTGTTTATTGAAATATTAGATTGGTAGAAATTTTGATTCAGCTTTGTCCATTATGAAAAAGAAAATATGTGGCTTTATCATAAAAATCCATAAAAGTGACATTTAATTGAAATGATAAGTGTCACATAGAAACAGAATTCGCGTGAGCTCGCAGCTTTGGTAACATTTTCGTCGCAAAACTGTCTTTCGTGCCATTAAAACGGTCATTTTGATTAGCTTAACAAAACGTACACCTGGTAGCTGGTATTTACTGTAATGTACAGAAACTACAGTTAAAGCCTATTTAATCTGCTTTGAATCAGCATCATGTTGTATCCTCGTATGACGCTAGTGGCTCTGGTACACCTTACGACGTATCAAGATGAAATGATATTTTGAAGGTATCGAAATTTGTCGCACTTTTCTTATTATGTTTAGCCACTTTCATTTCAAGAGATTGCAGACAGATGGAAACATGTCGACAAATAGTGGAAACCAATTTAAATGTTAATATCATGATACGTTTATCTATGATTTGTGAACCGCTTTGAGACGACCTACGGACTAGGTTGTGATAAAGCGGTATTCCGTCTTTGCGTATTGCAGAGTTTTCTTCGCTTGTGAACAGGTATTGATTGTTACGTCATTGGTTTGTGTGAGAAAATTACGTCGTTTTCTCAAAAATTGATGACGTTACTGTCACAAACAAATGACGTAACAATCAATCCCTGCTCACAAGAGCAGATAACTCTGCAATACGCAAAGACGGAATATCAGAACCTCGAATTATTATTATCATTCTTATTATCATTATAAATACCTTGATAGGTATCTCAGATGTTTATCATAAAAGCCTAAAAACTGCTATGGCATCGATTGAGGTAATGATAGTGTAATAAGGTAATGAAACTGTAATGGGATAATGGCAGTTTTACGTGGTAAAGGCGTGAACGTTTGACGTTTCCTATCTTAGTGATGAAGTGTATGTGGCTAAGTGGACAATCCGTACTATATGATATTTAACATTGAAAAATATTTCTTATATTATTTCAGTGCGGACGACGGATCGACCGGATTCATGCAGGGGACGTATATACTGGTCAACTACAACGGAACAGTCAAGTGGCCGGTACCGGTCAAGTTAAAGAGCTCGTGCAAGGTGGACATCACATATTTCCCGTTTGACGACCAGGAGTGTATTCTTAGGTTTGGATCATGGATCTACAGTGGTTTATGGATGGATTATTTCTCAGAGCACAATGAGACGCCCATTGACCTTGGTTCCTATGTTGATAACAGTGAATGGGACCTTCTCTCAGTTAAGCTCAAGAAAAATATTCGTACCCATTCTTGTTGTCCAGATCCACACCCGGATATGACGTATGTTCTTCACATCCGACGAAAAACATTCTACTACATCTTTAATATCATTGTTCCATGTGTAATGCTATCAACATTGACTTTGCTGACGTTCTGGCTGCCACCTACTTCCGGTGAAAAAATAACTCTAGGACTGTCGGTGTTCCTGGCCTTCTCCATGTTCATGCTCCTGATTGCTGAGGAAGTGCCCGCCACATCAGAGGCTGTACCTCTAATAGGTTTGTAAATAAGTGAAGAAAATATAAATTTAACTAATGTGATCGCCGTAAATCATGTTCAATAATGTATCAGTTCCAGGTGGCTTCAGAGTCCCTAGATCTTGTACTTTATTCTTAATAGAGTCGAACTCAACTCCGATTTTTTACAAATGTTCGACACATTTTACGCTAGCTTATCCGAATTTGTTTTCCATTCAAATGTTTCTGCTTTGCTGATATTTGACGATGTGACTTGGAAACGTATTGCAAACGGGCCCTTTTCATTTGGAAGTAAAACGTTAAACCATACTTCTTTTAATCCTTTATTTAAATAATGTCGGTTGCATACAATTTTTTCGGTGAAGGCTGTCCCGAAAGCTATTATATAATATGGGCTGGTACATAATTGAAATAGTTTCAATAAGACTTTCAGTAAAAAGAAAATAGTCATACTTCCAGCACAAATTTTGATAGTCTTGTTCAATTTACGTGTCACACACCTTTTTACACTTATAAAATTTGAGGATCTAATTTTGATAATAGCTTTAAGTTTATCATTATCTTTTGGAGGATTCCTTTTAGAGTTTCTAGACCACCACCTTTTCACAAAATATGGATGCTTTAACACAATATCCGTCTTTCTTACGAAATACTTCAAAAGGTTAGCATATTATTTTGATATTGTTATAACTGAAAATATTATAATTATCTGATCACCAGTCAATGGTTGCTGTGAACGAAAAATGCTTTTGTGCTATTCATCTTTGGTAGAACTGGACCTATCCCAAAACTGATGTCGATTCACATACATGTATCTCTACTTAATGGTGTTAAAATATCGTTTACCGATTGTAACTCTATGCTTCCATTTGACGCAAATGTTGGAATGGTAAGTGTTGGCACCATTACTCGTGCTATTCCAGCCGCGATCTCTCCTTCATGGCCTTTGTTATTTGTTCACTCTTGCTGGTAGTTTGCTCCATTTGTGTGATATTCAAGTGGTTCTCTGCATCCTACAGTCGTCTATCAGAGGAAAATTTCACAATACTTTCACTGATACGTACGGTACCACTAGCTAGAGACTGATCCATATCGAATGCTTGTCGATAAACTATCGTTGATATCTTTATCACAAGTTTCACATTCCTTATTATTGCCATGCCTTTATCTATGGTGTGTTTCCTAACCAAACGTTCCGTACAAGTTGATGTACATGTACTACATTTAGATCGTATCATTGGCTTTATGTGCTGCTTGTTATTAGTATATCAAAAATACAATCAAATGGCTTCACATGGCAAATGCAAATGTTTAAGATTGGACAGCTCACATATAATTGGAAAGTCGAGAGACACTGCATGCAAGAATAAGTTTGGAGGTTTAAACTGACAATTTGGGGGCTAGGTCACATATGTTTACAAGGCATTGTTAAATACGATATCCAGAAATCATACTGACCGGCTTAAAGTTTGTCAATAGATGTTTTAGATATCTACAAAAAATGGCCAAGAAATCAACTGAAATGCTTTAAAGACTTAACAAAAGAGTTATCATGATTCATACATAAAGAAAATCCACCATAATAGACAATAACCGATACTATGTATTTCTGAAGTCATGGTATATCCGAGTAACAAACGAAGATGTAAGTCATATTTGAAGAGAATGATAAGTCATCACAAAACGTATCAGTATGAATAAAACAATTTAAAATCAGCTTCAATTATTTGAATTTATACGAGGGTGATTATAATTGTCAAAAATCAGACGAATGCAGGAATTTAGTGATGCATGAAACCAAACACATTCTTGATCAAAGGCTTGCGTTTTCTAAAAGTTTGGACCGACCTTCCTAATCATTTTTTATGCATGACAGCGTCAGTGTTTTTTGATTCCCTAATTATGGCATAAATACCAAAGCATTGGTGTTGCCAATCAAAATGTTTCAATCAGACCTCTTGTTGTGGGCTCCAACCCCTTCAATAACAGATATATTTTGGATTCTAATCGATTAGATTAGGGATTAGTAAAACAGTATATAATAGCACCACAGCCCCTCTGGCACTGTGTATTAACCTCATTGTCGAAATACCTGGTCTAATCTCCGGACGTCGAGCTCTAACATGTATCTGTTTGGCAATATCGATAAGACGAACGACATGTCATAGTCTTTAATGAGTCAAAGCATTTGTTTTCAGTTACAACATGAAGATGTGTTATCGTATTATTTAAAAGTTGCGCTCATCAGTACTCATTTCAGCCAATTATTCATTTTTTTAATGAACATTTCAAAGTCTGGACTAGAAAAGCCTCACAATTGCTGTAGATATAGCTGTGGAGTGGGTAGTTTCCTCACATCGTATAAAGTATATGCTCTATTGATGTAATGGTATGAAATTCAGTAATGTTTGGTCTGTCCAATATGTTCCTAAGTGATCAATAACAATGACAGCACGTATGCCTACACTTCATATAGCTGTTACATTGTATTGCCTGCGAAAGTTAACTTCCGGTGTCAAAGACATATTTAAAATGGTCCAAATAGTTATTATCTATACTTTAACGAAGGTTTAAATTACTGCTGTTCATTTATTTTAACATAAGCCGGACGTCGTTTGGTTACCATAAATCATTCTTCTGTTAACCTGCATGTGCAGTTTTCTGCACTTTGACGTAAAATGTAAAACATTTTGATACACATTAAACGTTTTGTACTATCAAATTGAAACGAAATTTGGTATGTCTCGGTAAATTAATGCTTTAAAACACAAACGGGGACTCTAGCATGATATACACTATAAAATTGCCTCGAGGCGCTATCTTACTGCATAGACTGAGCTAAAACCAAATATCATATCTCTAAAATACACATGAAATATAAGTCATATATACAGTTTGATGATGCTTAAGCTACCTTCACAACTGAAACACCAACAAAATCCGTCATAAAATATTGCTACTAAGTTTTAATTTTTAAGCTATCTACATTAAAGTCTCTGCACTGAAACCTCGCCACATTCTTCATGCTCTCTTTACTAAAAATGATAGATTTGAAAATATTTTACACTAATAAAAGACATAATGGCAAAAAGGAACTTCCCAAAGCATTGTTCCTCTCCCAAAACATTGAATACTAGAGACACGAAAGCAAGAAAGGGCATCACTTCCTTGTTTTCTTAAACATTGTGTAACGTAGTTGGCTGCTTTTCAAATACAGAAAATTCATTTGCATATTTTTTAAGAGCAAGAAAAGTCGGTCTTTCCTGTTCTCGGTCCTCCAAAAGTGATGTTAGGAAAATGCATTTCAACGAAAAGAAAATTTAAATGCAAATCTTCCGTGGAATAATGACTGCTTAAGGGATCAAGGTTTTAAATCGGCCAACTATCTCTGGTTCGACATCGTGGTCGTTAGTTAGTCTTTGAGGTAAACACGTCCACTTTCTGTCTGGGGGAAAGTTAAGGTATATCCCAGTAACAAAAGAAGATCAGACGAATGCAGGAATTAAGTGATGCATGAAAACAAAGACATTCTTGATAAAAGGCTTGCGTTTTCTAAACGTTTGGACCGACCTTCCTAATCATTGTTTTATGCAAGACAGGGTAAGTGTCCTCCAAAAGTGATGTTAGGAAAATGCGTTTCAACGAAAAAGATATTTAAATGAAAATCTTCCGTGGAATAATGACTGCTTAAGGGATCAAGGTTTTTAGTCGGCTAACTATCTCTGATTCGACATCGTGGTCGTTAGTCTTTGAGGCAAACACACCCACTTTCTGTCTGGGAGAGCGATTGCTTGTCGAAGAGTAGACATTACGTTTCCACTGTGGAATTGACTTTAGACAAAGATTCAACTGCTGAATAGTACTCATCTCGAGACATCAAAAATAACGGAATAAACGAACCTACTAAGTACTACGTCTGAGAGACGCTACGGTACATAGCAATTTTAAAATGTCATGTGAGATTTACATACTGGTTAGGCATATTGTCGGGGGGAAAACGAAAACAAGACAGTAAACGATGAGTGTTTCCTACCCTAGCTAAGTACCAATTGGCCTATTACATCAATAGTGACAGGCTTAACGAGGTTTACAATCGATGATGGGCTACGTCGATTAACTTTTAGAAATATCACTGCCGTTGCATTTGCTATGATTTGTCTTCTAAAACGGGGTTTTTTCCCTTAAAGTAACATAGCGTTATAAAATTCCCATACAACTCTCCGTTATTTGTACCTTGCAAAAGTTTTTGTTTTTTTGTATGACTGAAGCAATATTATCCTTCCAAACAATAGAAAAACCGCCAACAAACAAATCAAAACCTCGATTTTCAAGCAGGATTACGTAATTATTGAATCAAAACTAGCTTATATGGCAGAAATTTGTGTTCATGACATATGATGCCCGGGAACTGTTTGTAATTACCAACATTTTACGGAGAAAAGGAAAAGTCAATATCGAACAAAATGTAACATAGCAATATTCCTAATGAGATACTTCTGTTAGGTATTATAATGCATGCTAAGTTATGTAAGTTTTTAACACTAACGTAAATTGAAAGTTTATTTTGCGAACTTTTGAAAACGTCTGCTTCCTTTGCCAAGCTAAGCGTGGAAATGACAGGTGTCTCGACTCTAAAACGCAGAAAACAGTTCACTTAGCCAGAATGGGTCGGGTCAGTTAGATCAGCTGTCTGGTTTGGATGTGAAACGTGATTTGTCTTTAACTCCAATCCCCATCAGACTGAAATCTTCATGTTAGTACATCATATATTTTTCTTGTAGGTTAGTGCACCATAATTGCTTTTCTTGCAGGTTTAAATAGGGAAGATATAGACAAGTTGCGCCTTCAATAGAATATTAATTGGTAACTGCACTGATGACTGCAACACCAATTCGGCCATCATCACATCACACCATCTCTTTTTTTTCTTTATAAAGGTATCTACCTCTGTACAGTGATGACGATGACGTCACTGTCTGTAATCATGGCAGTCATGGTGATAAACCTCTACAACAGAGGCATGAAGACAAGAAGGGCCCCCAATTGGCTTAGACATGTCGCACTAAACTGGTTGTCAAGGCCACTCAAGATGAAACACGATCTTCAGAAAGTAGCTAAGGCAATATCACTGGTAAGTTCATTGTAAAACTAGTTATAATGTCATAGGGTAGTCCCAGTAGACTTATCTCAAATAACCCGTATTGTTCGAGCTCGATTTAAAACAATATATAGATCTATGGTCTAGAGCATAGCTCTTCTTGTCCTCATAGTCTTGAATAATGAAGACGTTTGGATCTCATCTAAATGTATAGTTTGGCTTCAGGTCCTAAAACCTTATAACCAAACGTAATAGATGTTCCTGGGTATGTAGTTTCGTGGTTTAAAGCAATTAAGAAATGTTCGTGATATATTTGTGGACAAACAGTTGTCAAGTATATCCTTCAATAGGTTGTATTTATTTTCGAAGTTCCATTTCGCCCACGAAAAGTACATTTATACACGGCAAACATTTTATGTTATACAGTATATGTACTAGAAGGAATAGAACTCTGAGAATCATCAGTTTAAACTTTGAGTCATTTTAACACAAAAGCTGTTGTTTGCATTTCTAGATACATTTATCAATATAAACAAGAATAATTTATCTTTAATATGAACTACACGTTTTATCGTTTATCCGACGACGGATACCCAAATTATATTCCAAGTCTTTTGAAATTATCCAAATATCATTTGGTTACTAATGAACAAAGGTCATTTTCCTTCACCATTTTTTCTAATCAAGAATATGGCAACAACCTCTTATTTTATGGTAGTGAATATAAAGAAATCCAATGTTGGCCCTCAAGATGATTTATCTCCTCATTGTATGACCTGATACGGCACCAATGCTCCTTTGTCGTGTTGTGAAACTCAATATTGAAAAAAGCCACTTGAATGGCCCTGTTCCAGAATATGGTGTGTGTATGGCTATTTTGTTTTCCTGCCGGCTAACTACATGTGATCGGACGTTTTCAAAACTTAGGCCATAGTCTAGACTTTATCTTTTTCACGGGGTGTTTGTAATAATACATCTTCTAATCCAGATTTGCTAAAATAGTGTTTCTAAACATTTATACAAAAATTCAGTTTGTTAGAAGTCCTTATCCCAATAATTTGACATGTTAAGCATTGAATAACAACTACTTTAAGTACTGATATATCACAGCTAGGAACAGAAGCCATTGTCTTCCCCACTTGACCAGGTTCAGCACTAAGGACAAAAATGGGGTAAAGCAAGGCGCTATGGGAATAAAGGTCAACGCTTTTAAGGCCACAAATGCAAATCCCTATATTTGGAAATATTCCCACATTAGTTGCCTCTTAGAAAATACAGTGGAAAACAGCAGGTATATTCTCTTCCCGATTTCCGACCTTTAGAAGTGTGGTTGCTTGGGAAATGTGACAAATAATATGACTTAAGGAACGAAAGGAAAGGAAGAGACCTACCAGGTATTGTTATATAGAGTATTTTTCATTGTCCCTATTTGACCAATTATGATGGCCATTTAAAAAAACCTCGCTGGTTATTATTGTTTTCGTGTTCTTTACATTTAGCACGAACAATGGACAATGCATGGAATAGGTAAAATATATTTATTTTAAGTATTTTTAATAACAGTAGAAATAATTTGAATTGAAAACTAGTATTAAACGATTGACCACATTTTTGAATGTTTAAGTTCTTTTCCTCTTAACAAGTCAAACATGTTCAGTTTTACATGTACTTCCTGACATTTTATAGATATGGTTATTTTGTGGTCGTGAATTATCCATTTCCCTATGGTTATGATTTGATAGCTCACTCGTTTCAGGAAGATGAACTGGAAGGCGCTTACAGGTGTAAAAAGCACGGGAAACTAGACACGAAAAACATTCCTAGCAAATCTAGTCCAGACAAAGAGGACACCGCCATGTTGGATAAAGAGACGACGATCCGAAACAGACGATATGACAAAAACGACGTCATGACGACGTCATTTGTAGAAGACAATGATGAACAGGAGGTGATATGGTTACGACGAGAAGACTTTAAAGAAGAGACTGCTGAGTGTTCACGGAATACGTGGGCGGATATACACGAACTTCAACAAAGTAGCAAAGATAACAATAACCGCGCGAAAAATGGCGCACGGACAAAGTCAAGTGGAAAAGCTGCGGCAACTGTTGTGACGCCAGTCTCGCCTGAGGAATCAAAATCCACACAGACAGACGGAAATATAGGTACATTCTTAACAGAGTGCCGCAATCAAAACGAACTGTTCGCGCGCAAACTTATCGTTGCTGAATGGCAGCGAATAGCGGCCGTCACAGACCGGATCCTCTTCTGGTTCTACTTTCTCAGCACTCTGACGTCATACATCGTCATTCTCATCGTGGTGCCCAATTCTAATTACTCAAGATGGAACGCAGAGATCCTTCCCATGCACACGGTGACGCAAGCAAGCTGATTGGTCGTGATGTTTAAATGCCTATGACGTCCATTCTGCCTCATATGGAAATGTGTATTTGTGAATATTTATCCAATTTCAATATTACTCCATTTTTAACATTTGTCGTGCCAATATTAATACATAGCGTGTATGAGTAATAACATTCCTACTGGCCCGATAGCTACCATTACATCCTCTTCATGTCCTATATACTTTATCATAGCAAAGACGTAAAACAAAGCTGACGTGTCATTTAATCATGGGGCCATGCTACCAATTTTGAATAACAAGTCCAAAGCATGGCTCGCTTGACTACGGGTATCGGGGCAATCGGATATCGAGCGCCGCAGTTATGAAGCCACTTAGCAATGGCAATCAAAATCATGAAAGTCTACAGAGCTTGGCATTATTTATAACATTGTTTTATACATTTGGTAATGGAAACTCAATCATTTTGAGAATATGATAGAAATGTGTGTACTGAAAAAAGTTTGCAATGGAGCATATGGACGATGGATATTTTCTTCATCAACCTATTCAAATAAGGAATGTTTTGGAACGTTTGTACATAGCCGTTCCGGTCTAATATCAATATCACCATTCAGTATAAAGACATTTTCAATGCTCTGATTGGCCGTTGCGTTCACGCTGACGTCATTATAGCAACAAGTATATGATGTCATGTCCTGTTATTGCTATCAAAATCAATATCACTTGATATATATTAAGAAATGAAAATTAAAAGTTTCATTTGAAAGGATATTTCCTTAAGCTTAATACACTTAAGGATCCCCGACCCTACAGTGACATCTCTCTTAATTGCGATTTGAATAAAACTGTAGCACGGGTGGACTAGAGCTCTTCCATTGGCCAGGTAGCTCATTCTGTAGAGCGGTAGTATAACAAATTCAGGGTTCGAATCCTGGACTAGCCCGCTGATTGTTTATGTTCCTAACTATGTTGTTGATTATATTTCATTTTTATTGTTTTGCCACAAAAGACCCTCAACCTATGTTTTCTTTTCAGAAATAATTTATCAAAGCTACAATCATGCTTGAAAAAATGTGTAGTTTGGTAGTGGTACGGGATTTTTGGTAGTGGTACGTGGATCCTCAAATGAGAATGTCTGCAAGCATGCAAGTACAACACAATTATCGTGATGTAGTGAATGTTACTAGCAGTATTGCGTGAGACAGGGAGTAACTATACCCACTGCACCCATCCCTGGGTTTTCACATCCCTGTCACTAACGATTATTTATGTTTAATTTAAGTTGTTCGAATTCTGAATCAATGCCAATGTTTAAATCACGAGAAATGCGTGGCACCCACGTGCGACTATCATATGTTAAGTCTTCGCTTGGTTTATAGATAGTGTTTCATATGGAAACTGATTGAAGCTCCTGTGTATATATGTACATATAGTAAAACTGAAACTGTTCAATGCGAAGTTGATTGTCCGCGCAAGATAGATCCGTCAGACTCCCGCACGCGAGATAAACATTAAGTACGTCAACGATTCCGATAACATAGCAATAATACGGTCCTGCTTACGTTGTATGTAAATCAGATTGCTATCAGACATTCAGTCTGCTATACTTCACTTGTACAGTTAGACGTAGATATATTTACATGTTCGTAACAACGTAGAATTTGTTAGGATGCTGAATAACATTTCATTTCATTTCCTACTGAAAATCAACAATATTGTCTTTCTCATTTTTCCATGTATGGAATGTCAAAACAATTCAGATGTCTTTTGTGAGTGAGACCTTCAGATGTTTTTTTGAATGAACGTGTTACCTTTCTTAAATTTCCCTTTTTTCCATCTCGAAAAAAATCTTTATTTCATATTTCATGTTTCATGAATACAAATTATGAATCTTGGACATAGAATTTGTTTTGGAATAATGTAATTGTTATTAAGAGGATTATGTACTTTTGGTACAAATAAACGAAACTGTAAATCATTCTTCGGGATTAAATAATTAGAAAAATGAAAGAAATACGCCCAATTCCAATAAATATATAATACTTTTTCATTGAAACAATAAATATAATTGTTGTAGCCTTTTTTCATTGTCATTTTGTACACTAGTCCTTTTATTTATCATTGTAAATGGCACAAAAGCAGTAGACCCTTTCATTCATCTTTGTCCTGCTGTTTGTATTATATGATGGAAAACAACGGTTTTTCAAATGAATTCTTTATGAAATGTGAAAGGTTATCAACCTAACTCAATCTTGCTTAAAATCATGCTAGAAGCTCATTGGGTTCCATCTAATTTGTCATCAGCTCTCATTGTTCCTGTTTGTAAGCAACTTGTACTTAATGACCCCAATCGTTTTAGAGGTTTCGCTCAAATAAGGGGTCTCTGTATATTCCTGTACTTTCCAAAAGCATTTTTGAAGCATGAATTTAATTTGATTATTTCAAAAAAATGTACATTTCGGATTGCATCCGCAATTGAGTGCAATATATTATGCATTTACATTGCATTTAATTATATGGAAACTGATGTATTGGTGTTTTGAGCCTTCGCAAAGCTTGTGTAAAATGTATAGATTCGTTCAGCTTATGCTGTAAATTAACTGAACTATGTGTTTCAAAACTATGTTTATGTCATTATGATGCGTTTTACAGATCAGTTAAATTTTGTGCTTCATTTAATGGGAAATCTTCTAATTATTTTCTTGATAATATCAAACTTATGCAAAGAAAACATCACCATTACTGTTATTCCTTTTTTGTTAACGGCTTTCAAGCTTCCTTAATTGAAACCGGTGTAACAGATTAGGCCTTTGATGAGTTAGGTTTGTTTTCTTTTTTAAAGTACGTAGATGATTATGTTTATTTTTTGGAAAAAATATGTGAAGGCTTTTAAAGCCTCTAAGATAGTCTTTGTAATTATGTACTCTACAAAATGGAAGGTAACAGTTAATACACAAACACACTTTATTTTCAGAAATGAGATTGTGTTTCGGGAACTGAAAAATAGCCGTGTAATAATAGTATGTAGAAAATGTATATGTATTCAGCTATCAAGTGATAGACAGTTCAATGATGCAAAAATGTAAATGCTATTTTATTCCATTAAGAGGCAGCTAGCTTGCTGACCAAGATTGAAAGGTTGTTTCCGTCTTTTTTAAAGTGTTCTGTTTAAGCTTTAATTGTACAACATTAGTATACCTTGTTTATTATGTACGTACATCATACGGTGTATAGTAAAGTTTTGGGATCTTTTAAAGGTTTGTTAATTGTCAGGGTTCATAGAAAAAAAGGTTCATATTAAATAAGGACAATACCCGTTGGAATTTATTAGAACGTAAAGAATGATTAAATGTCAACTAAATTTAATTTACTTGCAGCATGCACTTGAAACTGCTCTTGTTCTTTTTCAAGCAGTAGTAATACAGTCAATTAATTAATAATGTTAGTATTGTTAACAAATAATGTATCTTCTCTTTGCTTCGGAGATGTATAGACAAGTCATTATTCTTGTCTCGTGACCATTCGCGCGGTCTGTCTCTTATAAAAAGAAAAAGAAAATACTGAAGACAACAATTGCTTATGCATGTTATTCTGCTAGACCAAAATATTTTTTTAATAAGCATTGATTGAGCATGACAATACTATATGTTAAAGTATGTGTGACATATCGAAACCGTTTTTCTATGTTGCCCTTCAGATAAAACAATGATATACAGCTACAGCCCAAAGACCGGCTTTAGCTCAGATAAAGAAGACGAATATCGTTTTGTTTTTATTTGCAACGCATGTCAAAGGTAAAGATTAAACTACGAAGAGCAATAAAACTGGCAACAGCGAAGAACAGTTTAAGCTGACTATATGTATAGTTGAAGCTTATCAGTTTAATATACATTGTCGAATGCATTGCATGATGTGGTTATGCATATATTGACATAATTGTAAATTGTAAATTATACACTGACTATAATAAAGAATAAGAGAATTAAGTATGATAAATTTGTTTGATGGATGATGATGATGATGATGATGATTATCTTTTGACATTTATAATTATACTTGTTGTATTGGTATATATTTGTTCATGGTCAGTGATAGATCAAAGATGGTTTTGTCGACAAAGGTGGTGGGAGTGGGAGACAGTTAGATTATGTATAGTAAAAGGCAAAAAAAAATATCCGGAAACACTGGCTAAATAGTAAGACAACTACTGGTGGTCTGATAGAGGTACAACCGGATTAGTGGTGGCTTGGTGATGGGACAACATGACAAGTGGTGGCTTGATAGTTTGTTTACGGTTCAAACTTAAATTAAGAAAGAACTTGTTGGGCAAAGATGATCAGTGACTCTGATAATGTGTGAATCAATATTTTAATGTTTATTTCGTTAAATGTTAACATGTGACAACGATCATCGTTCTACAATTCCATGTAGCCGAGCTAGACAGATGAAGTTGAAGGTCCGCTTGTATTGCTACTTTTTCGTGTGTTTAGAATAAATGTATGGGGAATGTCATTATCAATATCCCGATAGTTACAAGACATTTGTGATGTCTTGTTAGATGTTAGAAATCATGACGATAACTTGTAAATGTGGTTCTTCACCAAAACGAGAACTTGCTATGCAAAGAAGTATTGAATCAAGAGAAAAGCATTACCTACATACCATCCAGACATCAGTCCTTACAATCACTCAAATTGGAACGGCGGTTGAAATAATGTTAAAGTCATCATGAAACAAAGAGCTGACGTTATTGTCAAATTCATTACCTTTATGCTTTACTAACAAATATTCTGGAGAACAAGTCTGTGAGACGAGTGGAATAGTTATAGTAAAAGGACATTGGTAAACAAGTGTTTTTTTTTTTTAAATGTCTTACGCGGTAATGTTGTTTATAAATGTTATTTCATTGAAAATGGAACAATTTTTGTTTGATTGACAAACGGAATTAAAACAGATTTAGAACGGGGTTTTTTTGTTCCTTGATAAGGTACAAGTCTATTGGTACAAGGTCATGTTTTGATATTATAATTTCATGCTCTGATATCTGTTCCAGGTCAGTTATATTGCTCATCTAATGATATTTGAATCAAACCCAGTGTAATAGACCACTGGCACTTGATGTTTTATCAGTCACAAAAGCAAAATTTTAAACCAATCTTAGGGCTCTAACACAACTTTTAAATTTTCGAATTTGTTATTTATATATAGGCAAATGTCTGTGTTCAGACAGCAGGTCGATGGGTGATGGCAGAGCTTGAAGAATCATATATAGATGGTATTTTAGTAGCAGCCTCGGTTGTATGCTGATACTATTTTAGATATGTTCATATGTTGCTTTAGAGGTCTAGAACTGATTGAACAGATTTACAGTGTTTTCTGGACAAGCTTATATTATATCGTAGATGCTTTTTTCTCACCAATCACTGTTTACAAGAAAATATTTCCGTATGAGTGAAAAGGGTATTATAGCTATGGGGGTTAGACCGGATATCGAGCCATGTTGCTATAATTATTTAGGCGTTGTAGCTGATGTCCCTAGCTGACCAAGAGTGATGACTTCCGTCCCGTTAGCCTGTAGGAATATCGAGATCACACAAAGAGGTCTCTCGTTTCCTTTTTACACTGTGGCACCGGCGAAGTGCGGGCTTGTTTTTTTTTTCATCTATAATGTCTATGATGGTTCCTTTCCTACTACTCCTACATACATATAGCGATATAAAAATATAAACTTTGTTTATTTTACAGCAATTATGAAACAATTTTATCGGCTAATATTAATCTTTATTAATAATTAAAGATTAATTCGCGCATACAGGCTTGTTATCGGAGGGAACAAGAGTATGAGGCAGAGAACAACCGATCAGGAAGTCGTCTATATAAAGGCGTACACTATCCACTTAACCACCCGGCTACACACGGGTTCACTACCCACAGGCTAGTAAAATGTTTAACAGATAAAAGCCATGCTTCATATTTATTTACAAGAATCTAGGATTTGCTGAAGTGCTATTTTAAAAGTGATATTTTGTTTCATCTTAATCACGTTGTTTGCTATCCTTCACAAATTTGTTTTGCGTGTTATTAGTGTGAGATATATATAATCTACAATTCCTTGTATATATGTGATGGAGACCAAGGAACCCTCTACCAAGGGTAGGAATTTTAAGGTTTGACGCAAAGCTTTGCCGACTGTTTAACTTCATAATCTTCTCCCGACGGTGTGAATTTCTCTTTCTGTGTCACACGGTATACGTAGTGATGCATGACTTTTCCCAAAAAAAATAATTTGTTAAAATACTCTCGAGTTGTAGCGGTTAACCCAATACACCATACGATCACCAATGGTGCATGATATGTGTGACACGATTGATGACGCGACCCATACAACGCTGCATTTAACGATAACGCGATTGTGACGTTTTCAGAATAAAAGCACGCGTGAATTTTCTTTCCCTTATATTCAAAATCGGGAATGCTGCTGTCGGGTTGATTTTTGAGGTCCATATTCCCATGAATGACGTGAAAATACACTGCAGCACTACCGCAAAAATTACATCCTTTACTCGGTAATACAATGAACACTAGCGCAACACATTACAATAATTTTTATTCAGTAATACACTGAAATAAAACAATGTTATATTTCCTGGTTTTGGTTATTGATGTGTTTCCACGATTTGTAGAGAAGTGAGAAGGAAAGAAAGTTAAGATGGTATGTGGGAGAGTGATCAAGTGCAGGAGAGGCGATGTTTTAGTGAGATTTTCCATTCCCATTGATTTAAGACACATCCTGTTCCCAGGAGAAATGATGAGTTGTAGTAAAGGAAGAATGTTTAGGACTTTTGGAGAAAGGGATTTCCGGAGTTTCGTGATAGTGGCAATGTGCTGTTATCTTTTAAACATCATCTCCTGAGCAAACGTTTGCATGTATGATGATTTCTTTACCTGCCACATCAGGGCTAGATTATCTTACAATTGTTGATTGTATTTATATGTTAGACAGTGAAGATCATTATTAGCATATATTTATTTTTAATGGAATCTCGTTAG